GCACGTGGGGTTATGGGGTCGCACATGGGGTTATGGGGTCACATGGGGGGTTATGGGGTCACACATAGGGTTATGAAGTCACATATGGGGTCGCATATGGGGCTATGGGGTCACATGTGGGGTTATGGGGTCACATGTGGGATTATGGGGTCACCCATGGGTTTATGGGACCATGTATGGGGTCACACATGGGGCTATGGGGTCACATGTGGGGCTATGGGGTCACCCATGGGGTTATGGGGCCACGTATGGGGTCGCATTTGGGGTTATGGGGTCGCATATGGGGTTATGGGATCACATGTGGGGTTATGGGGCTGTGGGGTCACAACTGGGGTTATGGGATCATGGGGTCACACATGGGGTCAGACGTGTGGTTATGGGGTCTCATTATGGGATGTTCCTTTAGGGTCTCATTATGGGATGTCCTTATGGGGTCGGTATGGGGTGTCCCTATGGGGTCTCATTATGGGATGTCTTTATGGGGTCTCATTATGGGATGTCCCTATGGGGTCATTATGGGGTGTCCCTATGGGGTCTCATTATGGGATGTCCCTATGGGGTCATTATGGGGTGTCCCTATGGGGTCTCATTACGGGATGTCTTTATGGGGTTATTATGGGATGTCTTTATGGGGTCATTATGGGATGTCCCTATGGGGTTATTATGGGATGTCCCTATGGGGCCGTTACGGGATGATGTCCCTATGGGGTCATTATGGGATGTTGCCACAGGGTCTCAGTCATTATGGGATGTCCCTATGGGGTTATTAGGTTGTTACAGGATCATGTCCCTATGGGGTCCCTATGGGATGTCCCTATGGGGTCGTTATGGGATGTCCCTATGGGGTCTCACTATGGGATGTCGCTATGGGGTCATTATGGGCTGTCCCTATGGGGCCGTTCCGGGATGCTGTCCGATCCGAGCGGCTATTATGGGATGTCGGCAGGCTGCCGGTGCTGCTCCCGGTGGCCGTGGTTGTGGCCGTTCCCTTCGGCTGTTACTTCGGAGCCGCCCCCCCCCAGCGACGGCGGCTGCGGCTGCTGCTGGGGGGGGTGGGGCGGTTCGCCAGGTGGGGGT